TTTTACTTTCCTTTTTTTCTTGGGTCTCGACTGAGATAGTACATACATCATCCCATACTGACCAATCATAATGAAGCCAAGCCTTTTCATTCAGCCCAAAACTATTTAAAAATTTGATGTTGTCTCAGTTCTTCAAAATCAAGTTACATGAGAATAAGGCTGGTTGACCATCAGATATATATTGTGTATTAAGGATCAAGACAAGCGACAGAAGCTATACAGTACAACTAGCTTCTACTAAATTAAAATGATCTTGGGATCACATATGCAATGTACCTAATGTGCAAGTTTTCAATTATCTGAAGGAATGCATCAAGCGGAAATGCTTGTATGTCACTTGCTAATGCTTGCAGTTGAAAGGTAGATAGTGATAACAACCAGGATTTGTCGTAAAACACCACGGAGAGACCTGCTTTGTGAGGTCTCAAACTGTCATCAGGTTGTGCCAGACGTCTTCGCACCCGTGGAGGCGGATTGCCGGGTCTTTGGACAGCATATTCAAGTCGTCGGGCTCGGAGTCGATCTAGACCTATCATAATGCGTTCGACTTGCGCACTGCACGAGGGAAGTCGGAGAACTTTAGCTCGCATTGCAGTCTTGCTTGATCCCCGACGAGGTGTCGGCCGAGCGGGGAATTCATTGTCTGTCTCATCATCGCTACAGCAATGTTCAATGACAGGTACCAAACCTACTAGCATTGGGCGAGTTAATACCTCTTCCAGACGCCATCGCTTCAACTTTCAAGTGTATGAATTGTTAGCTGAGAGTCATTGTGAAAACTGTGATTGTTCCAAAACAGACTTACACTTGCAAGGCGAGAGGCTTGCCTTCTCCTCTTGTCGCAAGCGGCAATTTCTCCTTGAGGCCAGTGTTCTGTCTCTCGGTGACTGTACAACAAGACGTACTTGGTAAGTGTTGTTGCGTCTTTAAACAGAGAAAGAGAAGAGCTTACATTCTTGCAAGATGATCAACATGGTTTGCAAAGGCTTGTTGTACATCATCTTGATTGCATAGCTCGGGAGTAAGTGGCGGATACTCTCCACATCTGACAAGTCGCATGAAAGTGGTAATTGCTATGTCCCACAGGAATCGGTTAATATAGGCTGTCATAGGTTTTTTAAAGTCCGGCCTAAAGGAATCTACGCGAGCTTTGCGCATTGTGCGCCAAATAATCCTAATGGCTTGGGGGGATGCCGCCGAGTGTCCCGGTCCGTCAGGGTAGGGGAAAGACGGATCTCTTTCATCATCAAGGTCCATATCGGTTACACTCCCCATAACAGAATCAATGTCAGAATTGTCTTCTTCTTCATGCCATATAGTCCATCTGCGCTGCTCTTTGGTCGTGGCGGGGGGTGGACATGCATGATTCTGTGCACATCGCCCAAACATTGTTGCAGAATGCTGGCGTACCGCAGCCTAGATTTACCACGAAAAAATAGAGGTTAAGTTTGTCGGTGTGATTGAATACATTGCTGAGGGAGCACTCACCAGGAGATCTGCGCTTCTACGTCCTCGACGTCTGACTGTTGGTGAATTCATGCTAATATCAGATAAAGGTCGAGAAACAGAGCGTCGAGAACGGGTCGGTGTAAAGCTCAAAAGTGTTTGTGAAAACCTTTTGCTGAGTGTGGAAAGGGATGAATGAGGATACCTCTGCCTTTCCTGGATCACTAGACACTAGACAAGCCCACCAATCTCAGATTGGAAGGTTTAATAAAGTGATAGTGGAGTGTATCAAAAGATAACTGTGGCTTAACAGGTGGACAAAGGGTTTAACCCAGTTTTATAAGGGTCTAAAAGGTTGATTTGAGAGTGAGAGAGTGAGTCTAGCTGATATTTCAATGTAAGGGGATGGTATGTAATGGTATGTAAGGGTTTGTAAGTGTCAGCCACAGAGTACATGTCACAGTACCTTTCATGTACCAAGTAACTGCAACACCTGTACTTATGTACATAAGTACTTATCCATAATGTTGATTACCTTTACCTCTTGTTATCTTATCTTTATTATTAACTTATCTTATTTATCTTACAGTTATCTTATCTGTTAATTACTTATCTATTAAATACATACCTGTGTTATACATAAGTAATTATCACTTACCTTTCACTCCCTTGTCCGTGAAATACCTGTACCACAAGTTATCCCTCTACTACAGTATTTTCACGGTCAAATATTATTACAAATAAATATGTACATGTATTAAATAGTAAGTATTAAGTGTCAATAGAATTAATACATTCAATACATGCACTGATCACAATTATGACTACATTATTAGAGGATCTGTCAAGTGCACGCATCAAGAACAACTAGTACATTGATCAACTAGTACACAATTATGATGTCACTTACAGATCATGACAAATAATGATCAGTCACTCAATTGATGTGCTCATTCTCCTGGCCAAAGCTCCCTTGATTCTGAGCGCTCATTCTTTCCCCCCTTCAGTATTCTGGAACTTATAATCCGTGCCTCTTTCACTGATTAATCCCCAGAATATTCAGACACCAGTTAAACCAGTTAACATTTATATTGATACAGTACCCGTAACCAACATAAATCTTGTCTACCTTTATTGTTCTTAAGCTTCAGTACTCTTACTCAACTTATCCACAGTATTCATAGCCTTGCTGAATATTCCCATTAACAATACCTGTTAATCTTCAACTAATTTTGTTAAAGCTTAATAAGTATTGTTAGCCCATTCCCTTAGGGGAATAACCAAATCAATCCCAGGTGAGTCTTAGTACCCTGGATGCCTATTAATACCTTGTATTGATCCGGATGCGCTGTTGATAGCAAGCCTCTCAGTAAAGACCATACTGATAGAGTGAAACCTCCTCTTTACAGGACTGGTATTAATCACCCACTACCTAACACTCACCACGCTCAAAAACTTCAGTCAACTCATAGTAACAACCTTTTTACTATTAAATACTCAGGTTAGTTACCCAGAGGCTGACAATTGGGGGTCTGGCCTAATTGGAATTCCGTGACTAACATATCTCCTTGCTTCTCTTAACCTTTTGTCCCCAAAACATTTACTACTAACAATGGCCTTCTGAAGAACAAATGCCGGAAGTTTTGCCATTTATTAGACAAATAGACAGTACAATTGCTGAAGAAGCTAGTAGATATTACCACAACCACCCGGATAACATTACAGTTATTGAAAGAGTAGAAAAAATAAAAGTAACAGAAGCAGAAGATAGATTTTGGAACTACATAGAAACTAAGCGCTACCATTGTACCCTTCATTCTACCTATTCCCCTGACTACATACTCATAAATCTTGTAGAAAAGGACGTGTCCATCGTAGAAAAAACAGTAGAAACCAATAGAAATAACTTCTTTACAGCGCTAGAAGAAACCCCAAAATATAGAACTCTTCCTACTAACATCTTGTCTAGAACAGTCCGCTACTACACTCTTCCACCTTTCACTGCTTGTTCTCCGCCTCAACCCAACTCTATAATCATAGACCTCACGGATTTAGAATAAATTAGACTTGTTTTTATCTCATCTCATCTCATTTTCTTAGTATCAGAAATAAAAACACCAAAAACACAAAAATAAAATTTTTGCGCTATCTGTTTTACTCATCTCGTGCCACAAAAAATCACAAAAATATTTCATTATATTTCCATTTGATTCATCCACACAGAAAAAATTAAAAACCCTTAAAAAATACGTCCGTGTCCCTTCAAAAAGTCTTATTTTTTCAGTCTGAGTCACTTTACACTATCACGGAGAGAGAACCATAACAGATACAAACAATCTGAGTCGACCATTCGATCCGCCGTACCCTGTTTACACTACTAGGTTTTTTTCCTGAACCTTGAAAGTCTACCATTCCTACGGCGTGAGCGGATCTAGCCTCATTTACCCATCATCTCGAGGGATTAGTACCTGGTCGAAGGCTAATACACCTGGTCGAAGTCTAAAAATAGAGTTATCTCACGTGTACATAAGGTTCTGCAGGCCGTATTACACAGTTACAACTCAATACACCCCGGATTTGCCAGGATCTGCAAGGATCTACATACATACAGATCTGCCGTACTACCACTCCCGCCTAGTACATCACCCCTCCTACTAAACCGTCGAAAGTGATCTTTCCTGATCTTTGAGAGAGTGTAGCTCCTTCATTATTTGAGCTACACCGACAAACAAAATACAGAACTCATCGCCTTTATAAGACGTATCCAGCGCCGCCTTACTTTCCATCCTCACTCAACTGCATCACCCAGTTTCAGTAGCAAACACCGACCTCTCAAGTTTTCGACCAGAAGTACCTTGAAATATTTCATTCTGAAAAGTTGAGCGTGTTCCTTAGCTTCTGAACTTATCTCTCGAACAAAAAATTTCCGAAAAAGCTCAAAAATTGGTTGTGTAACAGTGTCCGCCGTCAACAGCACCCTTAGCGCTAACATCCAAAACTTGGAAGTACACGACAAAAACACTGCGCCACGTGACAATAGAGTCCAATCTCCTCAAACAACTAATAGAGAAGCCTCTGTAGTTGCCTCAGATAAATCCTCAGGTAAATTTAACACCTCTACATATTTTTTTGTTATCAATTTTCACCGGGTTAAATTTTCCTACTAAGACCTGTTTTCTTTTACCATGTCTCCACCTTCACTTAGACTTAGAGGTTATAATGGAAGGACCAGAGACGCTCCATCATCCCAGAGAGGATTTCCACCAGCGTCAGTCTTACCAAAGAATAAAGATAAAATAATTTACGCGTCGAAAAAGAAACTAACATCTCCTACTAACAGTTCCCAAGGAAGAGAAATTCGAGCGCTATTATTACAGGATGAAGACCAACAAGGAATGGTTGAAGGATGTGCGCAACCGCAGCAGTTACTCGGCCATCAGAGCTCACCTGAAGTATTGCCGGGAGGATTTCCAAGCGATGATAGACTTAAGAGGAATGACGACGACCCTCAAAAGAACCAAGGGTTGGAACCCATTAAACGTGTCGGCGGAGAGTCTCCTGCAACCACGAGAAGCGCCGGACCTTCAAGAAGGATCAATGAGACCCCTGAGTCGCAGAGGGAGGAATACCCATTCAAGACACCCAAGGAATACGGGGAGGAACACTCAATGGCGCAGCCAAATCTACGAAGAGATGGTACGCCTTGGGAGGTCTCTTCAAGGGACTTATCAACACTTGGAGAAAGGAAAAATCAACCGCCAACACCGCTTCATGGAAGAAGAGCCTTAAATATTTCCCCTACACCTGCGCGTGAAAATATTCCTGATAGTTCTGATAGTGATTCTACTAGTAGGAAATCAAAACTGTTGTCTAGTGATTATTCTACGCCACAAGTTCCCCATGAACATATCCCCATAGAAATTTCTCTGCGTAGAGCTGTTAATATGTTTACTGAGAACATGAATTTTTTAGTACAACATACTTTAAGAAATAACAGAAAAATTACCACTGATATGAAGAAATTGTGCCGTAAAATTGAGGGCAGCTGTGATAAGAAAGCTGATGAAGAAGATGATAATTTTACTTACATCAGAGATAAAGTCATGATCATGGAAACTGGCCTTGAATTATTACACAAAGAAATACCAGAAATGCTTGAGAAATTAGGAGATCAGACCACTCGAGTAGTAACTAGAGTAGAAGAAAAATGGGAAGATATACAAAATAATAACAAAGAAATACTCCATAAATTCAATAATATGGAACAATCTTTCCAGAAACTACAAAAAGACACGCTTGAAAAAATTAATTCACAATATAAAAGCTTTGAAGATGTTGTAAACAGAATGGAATTAAATAATTTAAATAACAATAAAAATAATTCCGCCAGCTTCATCAAATTAGAAAATAAAATTGAAGAATTAATTAAAATCAACCAAGAGCCTAACAGTTGCCAGAATTTAACATCTCAACATACTGTTCACGGCAAAGGTAAGGACATACCACCTCATGTAAATTCATCAATTACCATACCAGATAAAATAAGTACAAATCCTTTCTTTAATTTATCAAACACGCAATCCAGTAATATGAATTTCAGTGACCCTAAAATTAATACCCCAGTTAGATCAATTAACACTGAAGTACACCATTCACACGTAACAGAGGACCAAGATAAAACTATTCAGAAGTTAATTTTATCAGGAATGCCAAAAGTTAATGAATGGAGTACCTTTTCAGGGAAGGGAGAGTATGATCACTATAAATTCATAGAATGGATTGATAATCTTAAGGAAGATACACAAGCACCAGATCCACTTATATGTTCTAAATTGAATTCAATTTTAACTGGAGCAGCTAACACATGGTACAATCAGAGGAAGAAAGAAACTCATGGAGTCAAAGATTGGAATTTCTGGAAGAAAGAAATAATAGCTAAATACAGCACGCCTGAATGGAAAAGAAAGGTTAGAGAAAATTTCAGAAAGAACAGATTTGACATCAAAGGAGATATTGAACCATCTGAATGGGTTACTACTCAGGTTAACAGATTGAGAGCAATTGAAAGAAATATTGATAATGCTGCTATAAAT